TTGGACGTATCTCCAACAGACGGAGATATAGGTTCTGTGGGTTCAGACCCGTATAGATTAAAACCATCTAGGATTTTCATGAATCCTCCCCCCGACTCTTCGTCAGCCTCAACTTCGAGAAATAAATCTGGCACTCCCCTCATCCTCAGCGCTCGGTTGATAGCTTTTTGCTCCTTTTTTGAGAATAGCACTGATCGCTTTTTGTCGGTCCGGTTCGTGCACAGAAGCCTCGAATCTCACTCACCTGCACAAGACGCGATAAGTTCATAAAGCGACCAAACAAGAAAAAGGGGGAAGGGAGAACGCGTGAAACTCGGTGCTTTACCGTCGTAGATACAATCTAAGTAACAACGTATCCTCTCCTTGCTTATGTCAGGCCAATTACGATGTCCGAGTTCGACCAATGCTCGAGCGTTGTCGTAGAAAGATCGTGGAACTCCGGTCAAATACGGGTGTGACACTACGCCGAGAAAAATAAAAAGAAAAACGACCATGAGTAAAGAATAGTTATCAACCAGCTTGCCAATTCCACAATACTCGAGACCCGTTATCCGGGGGATCGACGAACGAGTATTCGTCCGACTTGACAAAGAAGTAGTAGCCCAGCCAATCCGTGGTCTTCGACGGATGGCCCGTGATCACATTATAACTCGGCCTCATTTTTATGGAGAAGAAGTCATCCTTCAGGGGCTTGATCGAGGTCAGCTCTTCAACTGCTCGAGGACATAGCGCGATGTTGATCTCGGCGGCCATCACCAGTAACGCGACGACAAGACGGAATGCGCCATTTACGAATTGACTTACGGCCAGATCACGACGAGAAGTGTACGACGTTATAAGCTGCGGAATCGGGAACCAAAGCTTCGTATCCCGCTGAAAATATGACTCATAGACGCACTGATATCCCATCGAAGGAGTCCAAGGTCGTTGGCTGTCAGTCGGGATCAAGTATGTAACCTCGACCGCGGCAAGGCGCATGAGAAGACTTTCAACACTATCAGGAGTCGACCATGTCGACCATCTGCACTTGTTTGAGTAGGTGCCGCCACGACGAATCAAATTCTGAGGAACCTCCAAACCCCGCTCGAAAACAACATTCCCCGAGTGACGCGTAGGTACCGGGGGAGGACTCGCGACAGGGTGAACCCTCTCAGCTCTAACAATCCGGGCCCTGCCAGTTGGCCTAACAGTCCGAGTCCCACCAGCGCGACTTCTAGCAGTCAGTCTGGTGGGTTGAGTCGCAGCACTCCGATTCAGTCGCGGATCACCGAGCAACTCGGCAGCCGCATTACCATCACTTTCTCCCCTAAAGTCTCTCTCCGATTCAACCACGAGGAGCCTCTGCGCCAAGTCAAGGCTCGTCGAATCCTGTAGTGCTACTCGATGTTCCAAGTTGAAGTCTTCCAAGGGCTCGCCGGTCATTTCATCCCGGGCAATATATTTTCCTTTCTCCTCCCGAGTTAATCTTCTTTGGGGACAAATTGCTACCAGTAATGCGTATATATTGTACAACTATCTAGAGAGAGAAAGTAGAGAGAAGGAAGAGAAGAGATACCTGATTTCGCGGAGAAGAATGAGAAAGGGAGAAGCAGACGAGATATATATATATATATATATATATATATATATATATATATATATATATATATATATATATATAGGGAGAGGCACGTTTCCCAGCGCCACCATAATTAGGTCTATAGAGGCCTAGATGGGCCTTTTTCCTCGCGACCCTTTGCATTCCGCCTTAATGGGCCAAATCCTACAGGAAAAGCCCATCTTTTGTGACCGTTCGAATTCCCCCACGAATGCTCCGCAACGATCACCGAGTAAGCAACCCGACTCTCTCCATGCTGTCGATTAACGGTTCACACGTATGGAAGATTACTCAATCACCGAGTAAGCGATCCAATTCGCCTCGCGTGTCTGTCGAACGATTCGCGCATACATCAGCGATTACTCGATTACCGAGTAAAATCACTCGACACCTCTTCACATGGTTATTAAGCGATTTGCGTATGTCAGAGGTTACTCAATCACCGAGTAAAATCACTCAGCACCTCTTCACATGGTTATTAAGCGGTGCGCATACATCAGCGATTACTCGATCATCGAGTAAAACCACTCGACTCCTCTTCACATGGTTATTAAGCGGTGCGCATACATCAGCGATTACTCGATAACCGAGTAAAATCACTCGGCACCTCTTCACATGGTTATTAAGCGGCGCGCATACATCAGCAATTACTCGATCACCGAGTAAAACCACTCGACTCCTCTTCACATGGATATTAAGCGATGTGCATACGTCAACGATTATACGATCGCCGAGTAAACGGCACAACTCCCCTTCATGTGGCTGTTAAATAACATGTATACATAGGTGATGATTCAATCAGCCCATTTAATCCTCTGCATGATTACCGAGTAAGGAGTTCAATCAAAAGCACTCCCGCGCGCTCGCTCCCGTGTTCCGAATACGCTTTCCCATAGACCAAACAAACCGAATCCACTCCGATCGCTGTCCCGATCACCAGTGGACTAGGGGAACTTACTATAGGAGGTGGATTGCATCTACCCCTCAAGGCCGATGTGGAAACTGTATTCGGCCCATAAGAAGGCACATTATTCGGCCCGACTAACGATCGAAGACCCGATCCGCCAATAAACCACGTTAGCAAAAGAACCGCCATTCAAGGTCCGGAAAAAGGGGAAGTTCCTCTTTATGGGCCTGGAGGTGGCCCAATGCAGAGGCCCACTAGCGTGCATCGCTTCAGGTTAAGACGCATGAGGAGAGATCGGCTATAAAGGGGGAAGGAGGCACCACGAGATGGGGATCCAAAAATAGACTGACTAGGAGGCAGCTTACATTAGGGATTTCACCTTGTTCACTCTGTTATTTACCGCCAGTCCGTACGACACCTCCGGTTAAGCTCTCCGAGCAACAGAGATACTCTTTGTACTCATTTCCTGATTACAAATAAAGCTCTTTTCGTGTATTCATTTTCATTCATACCTTCGTGATAATCCAGTGACGAGTCCAGTCACTCACCTTACTGACATTTGACCGAACTCAGTACAAACAAGTTCTTGATTCAAACCCCCACAAATGAAGTAGAAATAAGAAGAAAAATTGATTATTAGAGGTTAAGAAGAAGGCACATATAATGATGTATTTAGCGAGAGAGAGGAGGAAGAAGAAAGAAATGATATGATGGGAAGAAACACAAATTGACAAATCTGAACCATTAGATTATTTTTATAAACGGCCAAGACAGTAATCCATTAACTGATGGGTTAACCAATAGGAAATGAGAAGAACTTATACTGATATTTACTTTTGAGTATCTTAATCGTATAGAAGGATAAATATTTAAATATTAGATGTAAAATTGGTTATATGTTAAAACCAATATGTATTGGGAGTAAATCGATTATCGTGTTGATAAACCGTATTCTTTACTATAAGTGTAAAACAGAATTGTAACAAACACTTTGAGAAGTTAATAACAAACTTTCTTTTTCTTCTTTGTTTCTCTCCATCAATGGAGATTTATTCTCTGATTCTAATATGTTATCAGAGCCTCGTGCACTTCTCTTCCGCTTCTTCTCCTTGATTCAGAACCTGTTCTGGGCATATCTCGATTCATCGCTGTCTCATTTCATCTTCATCTTGATTTCATCTTCAATTCGACCTCAGATCCTCCGATTCAATTCAAATGCCGAAGACTTATGCAAACGAAGTCAATCTGAATTCCACTCTGGTGAATTCAGCTCAGCGTCAAGATCCTTCGACTCAATCTCCTCGTCTCGCTTCTCTTCAAGATCCAAACTCCAATCCTCTATACGTTCTTATCTTAGATCACGCAGGTATCTCCTTAATTTCTCACAAGCTATCAGGGATAGGAATAAGCTAATCGTTGAAGACATGTATGGGACGAATTCTCCTATACACGGATCCTCTTCAAAAATCGGAGAATCTGCAGAGAGTCGAGATTGAAAAAGGGCAACTGCACGACGTACACGCTGCGGAGAGAAACTGCTCCAGCTACCCCTCCCCGTTTTGAAGCAAAGCAGTAACAATGAAGAATCCGCTGGAAATGGAGGCAGAGGATTGGTCTCTACAGAAAACAAAAGCGAATAAGTAAAAACTATTCTTAAAAAAAAAAAAAAAATCGTATGCACTCGGATCACATACCTTTCCGACCCTATGCGGTCACAAAACCCTCGAGATGATCAACGCTAAGGATTATTCCCCTTGACATGCAACCAGTGACTATTTCCGTGCGAGGCAATAAGTTAATCCTTCGTGTCATCTCCTCGGGTTTCAGTAAACCCTCGAGATGATCAACACTAAGGATTATTCCCCGCTCGTAACTCAACGTTAAGAGACCAACGAGTTGTTGCAAGCTACATGGGGTCAACTGGCTGATCGATAGCCCGAGCCTGTGAAGGTATCGAACAATGATCTTCGGAATCGGAAACCACAAATGACATTGCAGTAGAAATACGTTGTAGCACGTAAAGAAACCGTCGGCGTAACTTTTTTGCGGCTAGCGGAAGGCGAAACTCGACTGCCTCTGGGACTCGGCAAAACTCTCGAATGGATTCAAGACCATTGGGACGAACCGAACTCGGGCATTCGGGAGTATTCTCGGCATCAAACAAAGATGGAACCCAGGTTCCAAATCTGGTAGATCCCGAATCGTCTCATATCGCCCAATATGCCTCATGGTCTCTCGGGTTGACTGATGGAAATGAAGGCTCCTTCTTCGGAAGTGTGACTTGAGGCTGCGAGTTCGTTCCTTCGGAGCTGCGGCAATCAGAACTGGTTTCGAAATGAGTTCTTCTTTTTGAAAACATATTTAGCAACAATGAGAGAAAGATATTCAAAGGGAGAAGAAGAGAGAAAACTTCTTGAAACTTAATATGGTGGAAAATGAGTAAAGAATTTGAAAATTTACTCCATATACTTATAAGGAAAAGTTTTACTATTCACCTTTGGACTTTTGGCCATTAAGTTCCGCCTAATTCTACTAAACTTTTCGAACAAGTTCGAACCGCTCGCAATAACTCCACGATTCTTACGAGCTGGGGGGCTAACTGTTGGGGTTAAAATCAGTACGACTGAATCAATGACCAAAACTTTCCGCAAAAATAGAAATACGTTTTATAAAACTCGAAAAGTCGTTTTATAGAATTCTAAGAAATTTCCGAGCAAAGGAAATCGCGGAAAACTTGGAGATCGTCATCTCGGAAGAACGAATGAAACAAACGCCGATTACACGATTGCCCAAGTTAAGCACAAAACTGAAAAAATCGCATTCAACGTACGACAAGCCAAACCAACCGGTTCAGCTCTCCGTACGGTGAACTGGTCGGTCCTGGACCAGCTCGCCGTACGGCGAGCTAGGTGGCAATGATTCAGCTCGCCGTACGTCGAGCTGACCATCCCGAGCCTTGATCTCCCACGTCCTCGACTCAAGGCATACGTCCTTTGGCTCGATCATGTTCTGAACCATGGTTGACACGTCTCTCGTTTCGTCTTGATTTGTCCTATCGTTCAAGTTTTACGACAAAAACTATAAAGTCTTGTTTTACGGAAGAACTCGAGGAAATCATATAAAACGGCAACGGTTAAACGAAACAGCGAACATTGCCTAACTATATGATTTACTCGAGATTTTTCGTGAGAAATTGTAAAAAACGCGTTTTTAATAAAACCTCTACTAAATCGTAGTAAACGGCAACGATTAACCGAAACATCGAACATTGCCAAACTTTACGATTAACTCGAGAAACTTATTTAAAAACGGCATCGCATTGGGAAACGACCTCATCTAAAGTCGTAAAATGGTTTTATCGTAAAACGGCTCAGAAATCTTAAAACGCGATAAAAACCAACTCGCGACCTTAACGAAGTCCAGCCCAAAGATACGATGACATTTTAACGATTTACTCGCAGAAAGAAGATAAATGTCAAACTTGAAGATAAATTTCAAGTTTGAGGATAAATAGAAGATTTCCGCAGAAAAGAAAAAGAAAAATCAAGATAAATGGAAGATTCTCGATAAACTCGAATCTGGGCGAAATGGAAAGCCTAAACCGCCTATGAAGGGAGTATATAAGAAAAAGGCAGAGGGACAGAGGCAGAGGACGAGTTTTCAGAGCTTTCACTACCAAACTTAGAATTTAGATAATTTCCGTTTTCGTTATCGAGCTGCGTCTTAATTAGGGTTTTAGTCTTAGATTGCTAGGGTTAGGAATCTCGTCAACGGCTCACACAGCTAAGGCTACTCTTGTTGTACCGTTCTTACGTGAATCTGAAATAAGAATCCCTGTGCTCTCAATCTCGTTACTTTACGCTTTTATTTCATACTTATCGTTGTCTTAATTGTTCTTGTACGGTTCCGCAGATAGCCGGGTCCCCTGGAAAATTAGGGTTTACTCTAAGTTCCCATATTTACGTAATCTTGACAGTAGGTGAATTTCGGTTCCCACAACCGGGTTTGCCAACCATTCAAGGTATCGGACCTCTAAGATCGAGCCGGCCGCGAGTAATCGCTCGACTTCCTCATTGACTGCCTTCGATCGCTTTAGTCCGAGTCTTCGTCTCTTCTGCCTGATAGGTTTGAAGGTTGGGTCGACATTCAATTGATGCGAGGCGACGGCGGGATCGATCCCCTTCATGTCAGACGTTTCCCAAGCAAATGTCGATTGATTGGCTTGCAGAAATTCGACGATGACGCGCTTCATTTCGTCGGGGAGGTAAGCACCGATTCGGACGATTTTACTCGGGTCGCTGTCGTCAATCTGAACCTCCAGGATTTCTTCTTTTAGGGGGTATATTTTATGTATTGGTTTGGCAACCGAGTTTATGCGGGGCTACGCTTGCTTGATATTCGCTACGAGCAACTCTTTCGCCGCTTCCTGATCACCGCAAAGTGTCTGGATGCGTCCGTCTGGGCCAGGAAATTTTATGCATTGGTAATAGGTTGATGAGATTGTTTTCATCGAATGTAGCCAGGGAGTCCCGAGTATCACATGGTATGGAGCGCATGTCCTGATGATGGAAAACTTGACTGTGCGGGAAACTTTTGTTGCATACATCAGGAGACGGATCGTACCAAGCATCTTTTCGGATACTCCGTTGAATCCTGTTAGGGATCGAGTAGAAGGTTTGATGAGGTGGAGATTGACCCCCATCTTCTCGGCGGAATATAAGATCGACTGAGCAACCGATGTCAATCAAAACCTTGGTTACTTCGCAGTCGGTACCTTGACCAATAGTGGGTCGTTATGGGGCATATAGACCCCAACAGCATCTTCAGCCGAGAAGGTGATAGACGGGTCATCCGCCGGTCGAGAAGTCCAACGCTTGGAAGTTTTTGCCTGTCGTTGATAAGCTTTGACAGATCTTACCGAATCTTCGCATGGGGTGAGCCGCCCATGATAAAGTTTAACCTTTCTTGTGCTCTCGGGAGTAGATGCGATGTTGCCAGAGACTTAACCCTATTTAGGTGTTTCTCCAGGTTGGCGCTCTTTGATCGGTTGAGCGTTTCTCAGAGGTTGATTTTTGCGAAGTTCAGCTTGTCGTGTAGATCTGTAACATTCTGGTTGGATGCTACTCGCAGAGTTTTGGAACGTTTGAGTTTATCTCGGAGGTCAGAGGGGGCGTCAGATTCGTGAGCCGACTTTCGCGTAGTGAGAAGCGTACACAGGTCTTCGTGCTGGGATTCTGGTTCTTCGTCAGATGACGACTCGAGGTTAGCGAGGATAACCTGAATCCTCTGCATGTTCTTGGGCTCCTCCTCCTCAGGGGGTGTATCGTCGCGGTCGTGAGACTCCGAATTTTTGCCTTTTTGTTGAGCCGCACCCTGCTTTGGCTTGCCTGAGGGATTCTGAGACCTCTTGTCTTTGTTTTTGCTCCAGCTGTTGTTCCCTTTTGGGCGCGGTTTAGGTGGATCAGTCGGGATCTCGCCTCGCGCGTATTTCCCAAACAGAATTTCTTTAAGCTTCTTGCAGTCTTTAAAGTCGTGCGCCATCAACTTGTGGTATGAGCAGTACGGTTCTGTTTCGTCAGCGTCCGGCTTCTCGGAAGAAGGCTGGCCTTGTTCGCCTTCCTCCTTGCGCTGATAGTGATTCCACCCTTTATCACAAATTACGACTGTGGATTCCGAGAGGGAATCTTCGTCTACCATGTAGAAAAAACTTTTCTTTTTTTCTATTTATCGTCCGCCGAATGCTGCCTTGGATCCTGCTTCGGGTCAGTAGTTTTACTCGGCGCAGGTTTACTCGCGTGCATCTTGCTTATCATCGCTTTGGTATCTTCTGCCATCCTGATGAAATTTTTGGAACGTGCAATAGCGTCCTGAAGTGACGTTGTGGGGTTGCAATACATGTCTTCACGGAAATTTGAGTGGAAGTACAATGTTTTTTTCAGGGCCTCCACTGCAATGTTATCGGGGACGTCTACTTTGGAAACGACATTCTTGCACTTTTCCATGAATTCTCGTAAGCTCTGGCCCTTCAGTTGGGTGAGTTTCCACAAGTCGGAGGCTGTTGCTTTCTGGTTTTTAAACATGATGTAGTGCTTGAGGAAAGCTGTTGACAAGTCGCGGAAGCTGTCGATTGAATTCTCCGGTAATCGGGAGAACCAGTTTAAGGCGGCTCCCTCGAGGCTTTCCACAAACCGTTGGCAGAAACCGGCGTCTCTCTCGGTGTCCGTGAAATTGGTGTGACCCATCGCGATGGTCATGTTCTCGGTCGGGTGATCACTGCCGCCGAACGTCGGCAGTCGGATCTTCTCTGTGATATGCAGCCGGACATCGGTGATACGACGGGTGAAAGGTGTTCGGAGCGCAATGGCGAGGACCTTTTCTATCTGTGGCGTGGCACTCGTGGCGTGATGGATTTT